AAATTTAAATATTACATAGTCTGCATACTCAAGAAGTGACTTGGTCTTTGACATCATACTTTCGTCACTTTCTGACTTAAAACGGCTCGGGTATTTCAGATTTTGTTGGAATAATCTGAGAGGGTAGGAATCTTGTTGTATGGAGAGTTTGAGAAAACAATTCTCTCATATTGTTTTTAGCTCTACTGGTCAGAGACCAGAAGAGCTTATGCAATAGTAATGCATCCGTTGTCCGTCCGTCCGTCTGTCTAGCTGTCTGTCCGTCTGCCTGTCTGTAAACAATTTTTCAAAATGCTACTCCTCCTACAGTTTTGGTCTGATTTCAAAATAACTTGGTGCACAAGCAGACTACACTAAGATACATAATTCTGTATATCAGTTTTTGATTTCGATGAACGGTGTTGCCCTGGTTACTAAAAATAGAAATTTCTGTGAAGTTCTTTCAAAATACTACCCCTCCTCCAGTTTTGGTCTGATTTCATTATAACTTGGCATACAAGTAGACTACACTAAGATACATAATTCTATATATCGGTTTTTGATTACTCTGAACGGTGTTGCCGTGGTTACTAAAAATAGAAGTTCGGTGAAATTCTTTCAAAATGCTATTCCTCCTACGGTTTTGGTCTGATTTCAATATAACTTGGCACACAAGTAGACTACACTAAGATACATAATTCTGTATATCACTTTTTGATTTCGATGAACGGTTTTGCCATGGTTGCTAAAAATAGAAATTTCTGTGAAATTCTTTCAAAATGCTACACCTCTTACAGTTTTGGTCTGATTTCAATATAACTTGGCGCACAAGTAGACTACACTAAGATACATAATTCTGTGCATCCGTTTTTGATTTCTATGAACGGTGTTGCTGTGGTTACTAAAAATAGAAATTTCTGTGAAATTCATTCAAAATGATACACCTCCTACAGTTTTGGTCTGATTTCAATATAACTTGGCACACAAGTAGACTACACTACGATACATAATTCTGTGTATCAGTTTTTGATTTCGATGAACGGTGTTGCCGTGGTTACTAAAAATAGAGATTTCAATCTGTGAATTACTTTCAAAATGCTATACCTCCTACAGTTTTGGTCTGATTTCAATAGAACTTGGCACACAAGTAGACTACACTAACGTACATAATTCTATATAGCGGTTTTTGACTTCAATGAACGGTGTTGGTGTGGTTACTAGAAATAGAAATTTCTGTTAAATTCTCTCAGAATGCTACTCCAAATACAGTTTTAGTCTGATTATAATATAATAAGGCATATAAGTATAGACTACACTAAGAACATAAAGAGACTTAATCAAGGATCCTTATTCTTTTCTCTTCCTTTGCTATAAGTACAAACCAGTAGAGCTTCAGTCTCGACAGAGACTTCTGGTTATTATTGAGTTTTTTTTTTTTTTTACAAGAATCTAATATGCACAGGAAAACTAATAAAAAGAGTTTACTGAAAATTTTTATCGTCATAAACACAAGATCAAAATAACTTTTCAAAGGTTTTGACTAAATTCGAGTCATCGAATAATTACTAAAACAATAAAACTGTGCTTGCCCTAACGGTTTTATCGTCAGACATATTGATGTTCATTCATCACTTAACAATACAATACTTAGAAATATTGTGACAGGCTTGTAGATGCGAAGAATAGTCGTTGTTTACTGCATTGCAATGTGACAACTCCAGGATCCGCCATATTTGGGATTGGACGGTTTCCATACAAATTGTTCTTGGCATAGATTTATCATCATGGTACTTGGAAATTGTTCTAGGGTCAGTGTCTTTCTATGTATCAAGTATAATATGTAATAATTGAAAATGATTTTCTGGATATTATTCATTAAAACTTTAAAAAGTAATATAAATTCCTGTTTATACACAACATGACAAAAGGTAAAGGTTTAGATTTATTAAAATGAACACATCACATAATAAATCAAAAAACACTATGTACAACACAAGGTTGAGTACAAATAAATTAAAAACAAATACTGTTATAAAAATACATTACAAAAAACTTTGGCATCTTGGGGGCTGCTCTCTGAATTAAATACATAGATTAAAATATAGTTGTTATCCCAGAACCTGGGGAGAGCCCAGCAGGTTCCAAATTAAAATTACCTGGGGGGAGCCCAGCAGGCAATCATCGATACCGAACAAAGCAATATTTTTTGGTTGTAGTCAATCAACCTGGGGGGAAGCAGGTTGATAATAATATTACCTGGGGGGAGCCCGGCAGGTTACTAAATGTGAACTAAAAGCATGGTACTAATACAGTAGGTATTTCAATCAACCTGGGGGGAGCCCAGCAGGTTGCTAATAATTTAAGTAGTTAAAGTACTTGGGGGGAGCCCGGCAGGTTACTTAAATGTGAACTTAAAGCATGGTAAAAATATATTAGGTATTTTGTGTGTTGAGTACACAATTTGTAAACTTTAATAATAAAGCTTCAATGAGCATTTTGCTTATTTGAATTTGGGGGTAGAAAAATTCCAAATACATGGGAATTTTAATATACATGGGAATTTTAATGTCCTATAATTTAATGTCCAAATTTATTAATATTAAAATAATTCAAATAAAGCAGCCCCTTTAAAACAGTTGATGATATAAACAGTGATTGAAGTACAATATTAAAACAAAGATAATGATGTACATCATAACAATAATGAGATACATGTTACAATTTTACAATTTTTAAAGATGCAATGTCAAACAGATATATGTTAGTACTTATAAAACAGGAGATGAAGGGGTGGTGGGTGGGATGACCAATTTAAAGGTACAATACTAAACACTTCGATTACAAAAGACAGACTGAGATAGCTTCCCTTTCCGCACTTCTGATTGGTTCCATCGATCACGTGGTTTTGTTTATAAACATCCCAGGCACATGTCTACTGATTACGTCAACAGTTAAGTAACATAGTTGTGTATAAACAAAAATTACATAAATTTACATTTTATACACAACATGACAAAAGGTAAAGGTTTAGATTTATTAAAATGAACACATCACATAATAAATCAAAAAACACTATGTACAACACAAGGTTGAGTACAAATAAATTAAAAACAAATACTGTTATAAAAATACATTACAAAAAACTTTGGCATCTTGGGGGCTGCTCTCTGAATTAAATACATAGATGAAAATATAACCTGGGGGGAGCCCAGCAGGTTATTAGTTGTTATCCCAGAACCTGGGGAGAGCCCAGCAGGTTCCAAATTAAAATTACCTGGGGGGAGCCCAGCAGGCAATCATCGATACCGAACAAAGCAATATTTTTTGGTTGTAGTCAATCAACCTGGGGGGAGCCCAGCAGGTTGATAATAATATAAGTACCTGGGGGGAGCCCGGCAGGTTACTAAATGTGAACTAAAAGCATGGTACTAATACAGTAGGTATTTCAATCAACCTGGGGGGAGCCCAGCAGGTTGCTAATAATTTAAGTAGTTAAAGTACCTGGGGGGAGCCCGGCAGGTTACTTAAATGTGAACTTAAAGCATGGTAAAAATATATTAGGTATTTTGTGTGTTGAGTACACAATTTGTAAACTTTAATAATAAAGCTTCAATGAGCATTTTGCTTATTTGAATTTGGGGGTAGAAAAATTTCTGGATATTATTCATTAAAACTTTAAAAAGTAATATAAATTCCTGTCATTCTGTTATAACATTTATTAACATGTACAAGTTTGTAAAGTTTAATTTGTCTTGTTTACAAAAGTCCCAACATTAAGTCAAAAGTCTTAGGAAATGGGATTATCATAAAAATGATTAACTCCTGGCTATACAATGAAATGTCCAGGCAAAATTTGGATTTGAAATTTTTCACAAAGAAGTCCTGGGAGATTCTAGGATGTCCTGAATTCAAATCCCAGGATTGTTAATCTTAGGATTTCCTCAAATCAGATTGTGAGGAAATCTTAGGAATTCTTAGGACATCTTAGGAGTTCCTGAGAAGCATTTCCAAGTCAGGAATAATTTCTGCAAGGGAAACTTATGGTTAAAAATAATATAAGCCCATTTTATCAACATTTTACATAAGAAATGCATTGAGAATTGTAAAAACATTAATTTGACAAAATCTATAAAGGAAGGCTGGTTTGATGCTTAAAAAGGACCTGAATTAAACATATTTGGTACCATTATATTAAACCTGTTCAAAAGTTCTTGAAAAATTCTATATGAAAGCCAGAAACATTGCCAATGTCCTTAAAGATTTGAGTCTTGGGTAATTATGAAAGATAACACTTGAAAGTGGACTTTTTATACCAAATATTTTTTTAAATTGGAATTTTCATTTCGTTTAAACATTCTTCATTCAGTTTGTCACATGCAATTCATTGAAATATGATTTATGCACAGATTGAAAAGATAATGGCATTAATTGTTTTTTTTTTACGAGAAAACTATTTTTTCTAATAAAATTAATATTTAGGTATTATGAGGTATTTTCATTGTGTGTACTTGTCTAAAGAAGTTGTCCATCATTTGACACTGTTCTCAGATTCTGGTAAAAGTAAACTTGAATTATAACATTTCATTAAAATTAAAAAAAGTTAGAAAATTCTCTAAAAAATATTTATGATATCAATACCTCCATTTGGATATTTGACATCTAAATTATAAGTGATGCTGAAATGAAATCTAAAATAAACTGTGGATGTAATGAGCCACCTTAAAAGAAAAAAAAGACAAAATCTTTTAATATTCTGCTGATGAAAAACTAGGGCTGAGCTGAGCATTGTGGCTTTCGTATTTTGAATGTTCAAATATCCAACTTACACAGTGAAGTATATCCATTTGTCAAAGCTTATTGTATGAGGTACACAATAAAAGTCTCCTGGTAAATAGTGAGGAACAGGTAAACACCTGACTTAGCATTATTCTACATTTAATTTTGAATTTTTAAATAGAGGTATATCCTGACAAAGTTGAATAAGATTCAAGCTACATGACATTCACTTTTAACTTTTTCAGGAATTTGCCATCTGAAAAATGCACAGAGAAGGTTAGACTTGGAATGGCAAAATGCATCATCCAGCTTATAAAAGTAATGTGATTCATTCCTGATACTGTGAAATCACAAATTTTCACCGGGGTTTAATTTACGTTGTTTTCGAGGTATGAAGAGAGCCACAAATTCATGTCCACCACGAAATGTAAATTTGAAATACATAACAACTCAACAATTCTTCATCCACGAATTCAAATCCCCAAAAAGCAAGAGTTTTTACTCAAACCACAAAAATTTGACCCCATGAAAATATGTGATTTTACAGTATTATATTTTAAGATTCAAAATTGTTCAGTTCATGGCCCATGTGGTAACAATGAGACACAAAAAGGAAACATATTTTTTTTAAGAATAAGAAAAATCTGCAAGTTGAAATATTGATGCATGCATACTCATATATACAGGTAATATAAATGTGAGATTAAAATTTGATCAAATCCTGGCACCCAAGGAAAGGAAGCTAGCTAGGGGCCATGACAGCAGATCAAAATTTTTGTTCTTAGTGTAAGAGAAATGTTTAATTCTTAAAAAAAACTTATCTGTAACAGTAGACCATGGTTAGGAAATGTTAGACAAACACACAGACTAAAAACTATATCCCTTTAAATCTGATTACAGGGACATAAGATGGATAACAAATCCTAAAAATTCTCTTCCTAAATCTGCAGTCTGTCTACATTTACTCAATTGAAAGTGCAAGCAATAATTCAGTATATTGATGTAGATTCATATTTATTCAGATGCATACAGGAGTAATTATGTTCCCCAAACGAAGTTGGGGAACATATTATTTTTACTCTGTTTCTTATTATTAAAGTCTTCCATTTCAGAGGAAAGACCTTATAGTGATTCTACTGTTTCTTTTTCTTTTTCCTATTATTAGCTCTACTGGTCAGAGACCAGAAGAGCTTATGCGATAGTAATGCGTCCGTTGTCCGTCCGTCTGTCTAGCTGTCTGTCCGTCTGTAAACAATTTTTCAAAATGCTACTCCTCGTACAGTTTTGGTCTGATTTCAATATAACTTGGCACACAAGTAGAGTACACTAAGATACATAATTCTTTGTATCGGTTTTTGATTTCGATGAACGGTGTTGCCATGGTTACTAAAAATAGAATTTTCTTTGAAATTCTTTCAAAATGCTACTCCTCCTACAGTTTTGGTCTGATTTCAGTATAACTTGGCACACAAGTAGACTACACTAAGATACATAATTCTGTGTATCGGTTTTTGATTTCGATGAACGGTGTTGCCGTGGTTACTAAAAATAGAAATTTCTGTGAAATTCTTTCAAAATGCTACTCCTCCTACAGTTTTGGTCTGATTTCAATATAACATGGCACACAAGTAGACTACACTAAGATACATAATTCTGTTTATTGGTTTTTTATTTCGATGAATGGTGTTGACGTGGTTACTAAAAATAGAAATTTCTGTGAAATTCTTTCAAAATGCTACTCCTCCTACAGTTTTGGTCTGATTTCAATATATTTTGGCACACAAGTAGACTACACTAAGATACATAATTCTGTATATCGGTTTTTGATTTCGATGAACGGTGTTGCCATGGTTACTAAAAATAGAAATTTCTGTGAAATTCTTTCAAAATGCCACTCCTCCTACAGTTTTGGTCTGATTTCAATATAACATGGCACACAAGTAGACTACACTAAGATACATAATTCTTATATATCAGTTTTTCACTTCAATGAACGGTGTTGCCGTGGTTACTAAAAATAGAAATTTCTGTTAAATACACTCAAAATGCTACTCCAAATACAGTTTTAGTGTGATTATAATATAATGTGGCATGCAAGTAGACTACACTAAGAACATAAAGAGACTTAATCAAGGATCATTATTCTATTTATTGCTGAAGAAAAGTTTCAATTCCCAACTGCTTAAGTACTTTTCTCTTCCTTTGCTATAAGTACAAACCAGTAGAGCTTCAGTCTCAACAGAGACTTCTGGTTTTTGTTCCCTTTTCTTTTTTAGCTCACCTGAGCTGAAAGCTCAAGTGAGCTTTTCTGATCACATTTTGTCCGGCGTCCGTCTGTCTGTCCGTCTGTCTGTCTGTAAACTTTTCACATTTTCGACTTCTTCTCAAGAACTGCTGGGCCAATTTCAACCAAACTTGCCACAAAGTATCCTTGGGTGAAGGGGATTCAAGTTTGTTGAAATGAAGGGCCATGCCCTCATTCAAGGGGGGGAGATAATTGGGAATTAATGAAAATTTGGTGGCATATTTTAAAAATCTTCTTCTCAAGAACCATTGTGCCAGGAAAGATGAAACTTATGGGTAAACATCCTCAGGTAGTGCAGATTCAAGTTTGTTCAAATCATTACCTCCGGGGGTAGGGCGGGGCCAAAATGGCCGACCAAAGTTTTACATAGAAATATATAGGAAAATTCTTTAAAAATCTTCTCAAGAATGACAAAGCCATAATTCATCATATATATATATATGGAAGCATGCTCAGGTAGTGTAGTTTCAAGTTTGTTCAAATCATGACCCCCCGGGGTAGGGCGGGGCCAAAATGGCCGACCAAAGTTTTACATAGAAATATATAGGAAAATTCTTTAAAAATCTTCTTCTCAAGAATGACACAGCCATAATTCATCATATTTATATGGAAGCATCATCAGGTAGTGTAAATTCAAGTTTGTTCAAATCATGACCCCCAGGGGTAGGGTGGGGCCAAAATTGTCGACCAAAGTTTTACATAGAAATATATAGGAAAATTCTTAAAAATCTTCTCAAGAATGACAAAGCCATAATTCATCATATATATATATGGAAGCATGCTCAGGTAGTGTAGTTTCAAGTGTGTTCAAATCATGACCCCCCGGGGTAAGGGGGGGCCAAAATGGCCGACCAAAGTTTTACATAGAAATATATAGGAAAATTCTTTAAAAATCTTCTTCTCAAGAATGACACAGCCATAATTCATCATATTTATATGGAAGCATGCTTAGGTAGTGTAGATGCAAGTTTGTTCAAATCATGACCCCCGGGGTAGGGCGGGGCCAAAATAGCCAACCAAAATTTTTACATAGAAATATATAGGAAAATTCTTTAAAAATCTTCTTCTCAAGAATGACAAAGCCATAATTCATCATATTTATATGGAAGTATGCTCAAGTAGTGTAGTTTCAAATTTGTTCAAATCATGACCCCCAGGGGTAGGGCCGGGCCAAAATGGCCGACCAAAGTTTTTAAATATATGTATAGGAAAATTCTTTAAAAATCATTCTCTTAAAAATAGCAAATCCATGATTGGTCATGGGACTACTTTTGGATTTAAACTTTACAATAAAAAGCCATTTTCCACTTTTTCCTACCCTCCCGCACCTCAGATCTCCATATATTTTCCTTATTCAAAATAAGGAGAAAATGCGGACGGGAGTATTTGGACTAATTTTCCGCATTCATTCCAGATTTCTGTTGATTCAAATTTCCAGATTTTCTCCGTATTCAAAATATGGAGAAAATGTGGATGGGAGTATTTGGACTCTTTTTCCGTATTCTCTCCAGATTTCCGCATTTCCATATATAAAAAATATGGAGGTATTTGCCTGGTTGATAAAATGTGGAAATACAGAAATCTGGAGAAAATACGGAGTTAATCACATGGTTATAAAATGGCTTAAAACTGCTACAGGATGCATACATACATAAATATTTACAAAACCATCAACAATGTGCAAAATTATATGCAATTTATTATACCATTATGAGAAAAACATTTAAATGAATGAAAAATTCACACATTATGTACATGAGCAATGTATAGGATCTTATATCTTTGACAAACAAACAGAGGAGCATGTATGGAAAAGTTTGAACTCTTATTAAGCCACAAATTCATCATAAAAAATATAAGAATGTGGCATTTTATTTTTTTATATTTATAAATTAAATGGAAATCTATTCATTCTATAAAAGCAAAAGTGGTAGTGAAAAGTTCAACACTTTTAGATATTGAGGGAAAAATAACAATTGATATAGCTAGCATTTGAATATTTACAAAAAAAAAAAAAAAAAAAAAAAAAAAAAAAAAAGAAGCAATTTTATAGACATTTTTTATCAATCTGGATCACATTTGCCATTTTCTACCTGCATTCCTGATTCATATTTCTCACAATTCAGTTTATATCTCAGGTCTGTGCTTTACACCCATATGTGCAATAAAAATTTTCTTCAGACTTCTAATTGTAATTTGTAAGGTCACTGCATGTTTAATTTCTTGCAGCAGCACTTGCAGTCGAATTGGCAAATCCTACAAGTTAAAAAAATACAATTTATTTATAACTTAAATTATGGTGCAATATTAATAAAATTTAAATTAATTGCTTTTATTCCTTTTGTAATCTTTTTTATAAACACAAGTTTGGGTTCTTCAATTTTATATCAATTTGTTTAAAGTAATATTTATAATAATGACAATCACAGTTGACTGTTTTTAATTAAACGAGCAATAAAAAAGAAAAAAAAAGAATATATATACCTCATACATAACCATCCATGGACCAGCTTTAAGCCTGTTAAAATCGCTGCTGTTAGTTGAACAACCACTTATTCTTTTTCAGAAAATCTCCTCCTTTTGCACAGACGCTACCAAGATAAAATGTATGGTAAATCATTGCTAGAGATTACAGCCCATGACTCCCCAAAATTTACACCTTTAATTGTGGTTAACCATAATAAAGTTCTGTGAGCTGATTGAATAATTTGAATCATGGGCATATTGGCTGAAACGTACGTAGTCTGGTAGCTCAGTCCTAGGCCTAGAGCTTTTATTTTCATCATCACTGACACATTAAAAGAATATGACTCAGACCTACCGTATATGAAATACGTGTATCTGCATCTTTTGGTTGATACAGCAATACAATCTCGGGCTTCCTCAGGTCAACGAACCTCTTCAAGACAGTGCAGACGTTACAACATGGAAGCCAAGGTCAAATTGTGGCGGTCTGTTTTTAAATTAATTGATCACTGAGCCCGACTTTTTGAAACGTTCTTTCGATCCCGATCAAATTGTACATAACATTTAGGAGAAACAGAGAACTGCTGAATTCCAGAGCTCCGTATTTTTTCCAGATGAAAAATATTCTAAGTTAAGAGTTAAATATTTTTCCAGATGAAAAATACACTAAGTCCAATTCTCCGTATTATTTCCGTATATTTTCCAGATTATTTCCGTATATTTTCTGCTTTTCCATATTGTTAATTCTCTCCGTATTTTTTCCACATTTTTTCCATATTTAAAATGAGGAAAAAATGCGGAATAATGCGGAAATCTGGAGATCTGAGATGCGGGCTTAGTGCTCAGGTGAGCGATATGGCCCATGGGCCTCTTGTTTGACTATTTCTCAGAGATGACTGGACGGATTCTCATGAAATTTTAAGGGGTGATAGAGAGTGAAAATATCTTTTATATGTAGTTTTCAGTTTTTCTAAATTCACTTCCGGTCATCAGATATGTCCAATTTCCGCTTTTTTCAAAATAATTTTGTCTGAGTCATTTCTCAGAAACGGTAAGAGATTAAGACACCAAACTAATATGAATAATAGATCTTGATTAGTAGGCGAGCCCATTTGGGTTAAGATTGTCCGGCATCACTTCCGGTTGTCACAGGAAGTGATCTAAAAAATCAAAAATTTCAACTTTTCTTTTATGACACTTTTTTTGCATCACATTATAGCATCTTCCTTGCAGTTTTGAAATATATCAGTCCCACTGGAAACAAAAACGACAACTTCCGGTTATAAGAGAAAAACTACATAATTTGAGTATTTTTCTTTCCCATGAATATTTTTTAAACTTGAAGTATTTGAATTGATTTTTGGATATGTTATTCAGATTGCCTATGTCTACAGTAACGTCAAATATCTTTTTAAAATTCACTTCCAGTCGCGTGATATTCTGTCCTCAAAATGAGAAGTTATCATAGCTAGATCTCGTAAATGGTAAGAGGTTAAGACACCAAACTTATAGGAGTGGTAGATCTTGATAAGTATGCAAAACCATATGGGTTAAGATTGTCTGCCGTCACTTCCGGTCGACACAGGAAGTGATCAAAGAAATCGTAAATTTCAACTTTTCCTTTATGAAACTTTTTTTTGCATCACATTATTGTATCTTATTTGTAGTTTCAAAATATATCAGTCCCACCAGAAACAAAAAAGACAACATCCGGTTATAAGAGAAAAACTACATAATTTGAGTATTTTTCTTTTCCATAAATACTTTTTATAGATAAAGTGTTTATAATGATTTTTGGATATGTTATTCAGACTGCATATGTCTACAGAAACCTCAAATATCTTTTCAAAAGTCACTTCCGGTCACGTGATTTCCGTCCTCAAAATGAATAGTTATCATAGCTACATCTCGTAAGCGGTAAGAGATTAAACACCAAACTTATAGGAGTGGTATATCTTGTACAGTCAAACCTGTTTTAAGAGGCCACTCGTGGGAGAATGACAAATTGGCCACATAAGACAGGTGGCCACTTACTCCAGGTTTCAAACCAATGAATAAAAAATTGCGACCACAGTTGCATGTATATTTATTTTCACACGTCTCCAAATCCAATTTCAACACATTTAAACACTTATAAAGTTTTAAGTCACATGAAATCCTTTTTTTTTTCCATTTCATTTTACATGAATTTTTTAAAGAAATCTGTTTTTTTTTTTTTGTGTATGTGTATTGGTAATTTAATTGTACAGCCATATAATTTACATCACAGGAAATCATGAAATGTTCAAACAACTAAGCATTTCCCTTTATGCTGTGTAATTGAAGCTTTTTAATTTTTCTAGATACAAATTTATTTATAAAACATAAAAGGTTAAAACGCGAGACTGACCGCTTGACTTGATAACCTCAGACGAAATTGTTATTAATATGTAGCCTATTGAGTTTATCTGTTTATATCATGAAAATATTTAACAACTTACTTTCGTACATTAAGAACACAAAAAAATGTTTGTTAACAAATAAATCATTTAATCATATTAATTAAATCATTAAATCCTGACAGAATTCAAATTACACCTGCAATTATTGGTCATTAACTCATTATCAAGGATAGAGGTCACGTGTCAAACGGAAATCATGTGACAAAACAGACAAAATGGCCGCTTGCACGGGATAAAAACACTGGCCACTGGAGCTTAAATGAGTTAAAATATAGTGAAAAAATATCTTGTATATATAGGAAAAATCTTTGAAAATCTTCTTCTCAAGAACCACTGGGCCAGAAAAGCAGAAACTTATGTTGAAGCATTCTGGACTAATGTAGATTCTAAATTGTTCAAATCATGACCCCCGGGGGAAGGGTGGGGCCACAATGGGGAATCCAAGTTTAACATAGAAATATAAAGGAAAAATCTTTGAAAATCTTCTTCTCAAGAACCACTGGGCCAGAAAAGCTGAAACTTATGTGGAAGCATCCTGGTATAGTGTAGATTCTAAATTGTTCAATCATGACCCCCGGGGGAAGGGCGGGGCCACAATGGGGAATCAATGTTTAACATAGAAATATAAAGGAAAAATCTTTGAAAATCTTCTCCTCATGAACCACTGGGCCAGAAAAGCTGAAACTTATGTGGAAGCATTCTGGGATAGTGTAGATTCTAAATAGTAAAAATCATGACCCCCGGGGGAAGGGCGGGGCCACAATTGGGAATCAAATTTTTACATAGAAATATATAGGAAAAATCTTTGAAAATCTTCTGTTCAAGAACCACTGGGCCAGAAAAGCTGAAACTTATGTGCACATGGAAGGATCCTGGGGTAGTGTAGATTTTAAATTCTCTAAATTATGATCAGTAGGGTAGGGTGGGGATGCATTATGTATTACAAGGGGGAAATCTGGTAAAGAACAGAATGGTCAAAGCTTCTCAGGTGAGCGATGTGGCCCATGGGCCTCTTGTTTTATGGGAAGACGCAGCATAGAACTCTAACGAAAAGTCTGTCGGAAGACCGCTTGTTGCTCTAGCAACAAGAACGCATCTAGTTAAGGTCTTCTGTCTTCAGCGGAAGACCTTCTTGTTATTCTTAGGTTTCTTTTTCACTTTTATTATACCCCACGCAACTAGTTGCGTGAGGTATAATGTTTTTGACCCGTCCGTCAGAGTGTCAGAGTGTCAGTCAGTCAGTCAGTCCTTTTTTTTTGTCAGCGCAACTCCTCATAAACCGCTGCACAGAATTTCGTCAAACTTTGCAGGTATTTAGGACACAATGTGTAGATGTGCATATTACAAGGAAATTCCGATTCCCTTATTTTTTCCGGGAATATCCACACTTTTTAACTTAGGCATTTGGCCATACCTGAAATATAGAGATGAACAGTTTGTCAGCGCAACTCCTCATAAACCGCTGCACAGAATTTCGTCAAACTTTGCAGATATTTAGTGATTTTGAAAAAAGACATCAATCAACCAAGCCTGTCGTAAATTTAGCAGGGCTCGATACTCTAGACCACTTATGATTTTTAGCTCTACTGGTCAGAGACCAGAAGAGCTTATGCGATAGTAATGTGTCCGTCGTCCATCCGTCTGTCTGTCTGTCTGTCCGTCTGTCTGTCTGTAAACAATTTTTCAAAATGCTACTCCTCCTACAGTTTTGGTCTGATTTCAATATAACTTGGCACACAAGTAAACTACACTAAGATACATAATTCTGTGTATCGGTTTTTGATTTCGATGAACGGTGTTGCCGTGGTTACTAAAAATAGAAATTTCTGTGAAATTCTTTCAAAATGCTACTCCTCCTACAGTTTAGGTCTGATTTCAATATAACTTGGCACACAAATAGACTACACTAAGATACATAATTCTGTGTATCGGTTTTTGATATCATTGAACGGTGTTGCCGTGGTTACTAAAAATAGAAATTTCTGTGAAATTCTTTCAAAATGCTACTTCTCCTACAGTTTTGGTCTGATTTCAATATAACTTGGCACACAAGTAGACTACACTAAGATACATAATTCTTTGTATCGGTCTTTCACTTCAATGAATGGTGTTGCCATGGTTACTAAAAATAGAAATTTCTGTTAAATACTCTCAAAATGCTACTCCTCCTACAGGTTTGGTCTGATTTCAATATAACTTGGCACACAAGTAGACTACACTAAGATACATAATTCTGTATATTGGTTTTTGATTTCGATGAACGGTGTTGCAGTGGTTACTAAAAATAGAAATTTCTGTGAAATTCTTTCAAAATGCTACTCCTACAGTTTTGGTCTGATTTCAATATAACTTGGCACATAAGTAGACTACACTAAGGTACATAATTCTGTATATCAGTTTTTCACTTCAATGAATGGTGTTGCCATGGTTACTGAAAATAGAAATTTCTGTTAAATACTCTCAAAATGCTACTCCAAATACAGTTTTAGTCTGATTATAATATAATGTGGCATGCAAGTAGACTACACTAAGAACATAAAGAGACTTAATCAAGGATCATTATTTTATTTATTGCTGTTGAAAAGTTTCAATTTCCAACTGCTTAAGTACTTTTCTCTTCCTTTGCTATAAGTACAAACCAGTAGAGCTCCAGTCTCGACAGAGACTTCTGGTTTCAATAAAGTGTTATTATGGAGGCATAGAGTGTTTCGGCGGTTTTTAAAGAGAAATATGATTTTTTGCTCTTAAGGCCCGCCATCATCAGGAGCCCGACCTTGAGTATCAATCTTAAGCTATTGTAAGCGTGACTTAATTATCATTTCGCCTATGTTTTTGTGTTTACTGTAGGCGATTATTGGTTCATCGATAAATAACTCTTTGCAAATTGTGTCTGTTTGCAAAATGTTCCAGTGTTTGAGAAGGCGTTTTTTTAAAACCCTTGATATATGGATTGTATTTGGTAATCATAACATTTGGTTAACGCTGTTTTTCTTTCATGATTTTTTCGTGCAAGTACTTTTTTCTGTTTGTTTTGCCCATTTCAGTGATAATGGGATCGATTTCCTTATCAGAGTAACCTCTCTTGATTAAGTGTGTCTTAAAGTTTGCTAAAACTGTTGTCAGGATAGATGAATCACTTGTATTTCTTGCATGTCTGATGCATTCACCTTTTATAAGTCCTTTAAATACTGAAGGACTGTGGGCGCTTTCTCTGTGTAAATACTGAAAATTATTTGTTGGTTTTACATATAATGGGGTCTCAACTAATTTTTATCTGTCTAATTTATTTTTTTTTAATTTAAGTTCGATGTTATGGGCAATTTGGAAAATCATTTTGACTTCTATAACCGAAGTAAATATAATTTAATAAATTTATAAAAGAAGTTGTTTATGATTACAAAATTAGTCCGAAACAAATGGTATGGTTTTATTCACTTATTTTCAAATTCATATGATACAAGTAACGACGGGAACAATGACATGATGTCCATTCAATTTCTTGCAATTTTTAGCTCATTCTGATTTTTAGTTTTATCTTAATCACATATGCAATCGAATTTTTTCTAAATGTAATTGACTAATGCCATTTGGCGTTGAAGGAATAGAAAATGTGTTTTAAACCTAGGAAAGTGAATAAACTTGCAATGCAGTGGTGGCTATTATTCTTAAGTCAATGCCAGATTTTCATCGCAATTTCTTAAGGCAGTGTGTTTATCGTTGGCCAATGCAGGTTGCACGACTATCAAAAGGGCCAATGCAGGTTGCACAACTATCAAAAGGGCCAATGCAGGCAATGTGAATCTCTCTTTCTTTCTCCTTTTCCCTCTCTCTCTCTCTATCTATGGTCACTCGGACATTGCAAGGCTCTTATGGGCCAATGCAGGCATTGGCTGACTCTCTCATGCTCTCAAAAGAGTCCGTCAATGCCTGCATTGGCTCTCAAGAGAGTCGGCCAATGCCTGCATTGGACCTTGAGAGAGTCAGCCAATGCCTGCATTGAACAGAGTCAGTCAAAGCAGGCATTGGCCGACTCCACATCAGTCAGTCAATGCAGGCATTGGCTGACTTCACATCAGTCAGTCAATGCAGGCATTGTCCGACTGCACATCAGTCAGTCAATGCAGGCATTGTCCGACTGCACATCAGTCAGTCAATGCAGGCATTGGCCGGCTGCACATCAGTCAGTCAATGCAAGCATTGGCCGACTGCGCAGTCAGTCAATGCAGGCATTGGCTGACTGCACAGTCAGTCAATGCAGGCATTGGCCAACTGTGCAGTCAGTCAATGCAGGCATTGGCCGACTGCACATCAGCCAGTCAATGCAGGCATTGGCCAACTGCACATCAGTCAGTCAATGCAGGCATTGGCTGACTGCACAGCCAGTCAATGCAGGCATTGGCCGACTGCGCAGTCAGTCAATGCAGGCATTGGCTGACTGCACATCAGTCAGTCAATGCAGGCATTGGCCAACTGAACATAAGTGCCAATGCAGTCAATGATAGACTCCAAAGACTGATGCAATGCAGGCGTTGTACATTCCACCGTATATAAGGGGTGTTAAGAAAGTTCGTTCCAGGACGAAATATTTTCTAAAATTTCAAAGTAGTGCTTAACTGAAGAGATGAATTTTCAAGTCTGACAAAGACACAAGAGTGTGCCTTATATTTATAGCAATTCATTTCTAGCAGGAAATTATAGGATTTTCTTCCATATGAGAATAGATATAACATCCTTAAAGCACTCGAATGATAGAAATGCTGGTCATTCTGAGTGAAAGTAAAGGGTAATTTACTTTTGTTTCTACATAGCTTATCTTGCATCAGACAAGCTGATGAGCGTAGGTATAAGAACTATAGATCACTTTTCAAAAGAATAGTTTTGTCATTTTGAAATTTTTCATAGATTTGATGATTTTTGCAGAGAATTTGAAAGGATGTTTGACCTGTATGCTAAATATATGTCACAAATATGCGTCATTCCTAATTTTTCTGAACAGACATCCTCTGTTTTAATACCTACCCTCCCCTTATTGTTTCAACAAAAGACAGTTAAAACCTTATCAATAGCAAGAATGAACACTGTAAACATTAAATATCATGAATTGTAAACATTTTTTCACCGTATTTCTTTTCGAAAATTTAAGAAAAATGTGGAACGAACTTTCTTAACACCCTTTACATGTATAGGGACTGCAGGCATTGGAATACCTTTTATTCATACAACTAATGCATATAAAATCTTCCTTGTATAAAATATGTTTATACATGTATATATTGTATTTGTCAAAACTGGTTTTTAACAGCAGACTTCTATAAATCAAGTAATGATGAATGATCAATTTTAACGTTTATTTTAATTTTAGAGAAGAATTTGCAGAAAAGTAAAATTAAATAAAAACGATGTATTTTCAAGGAAAGTTTGATTAAAATTATTTGCGTAGAATCTTATTACATTGTCAAAATGTTGTCTTCTTGATCCCTAAAGTAATCCATTTAGTCTGTGCAGTTCTTAGTACTTCGCCTGAAAATGGAATCAGAGTTAGTTACAAAACATTGTTTGAATCCGTATAAATTTGTATATAATTTTCGGCATTGTTTCACCAAATAATTACAATTTATTCTTGTCCCTACATAATAATTAATGTTATACGCTCTAAATATTAATTCCAATGCTTCTTTCGCAGATTTTTAATTCAATGTATTCATGTAATAATCACTCAATAATCAAATACATGTAGTGAGTCAAAATATTGAATATTAAACCTTATGATATGGTCGTTGGCCACCATTTTAACAAACAGACTCAGGTCTCATAGAATCCACCATTTTAACAAACAGACTCAGGTCTTATAGAATCGGATATCATCAGAGACTGTCGTCTAATGTTGCTGTAGATTCTCTCTGTGTTTTATTCAACACTGTTAAGAAAAAAATAAGACATGTATTTAAAAATCCCTAGACAAAACAAACATGAACTTTGTAACGTTTGCCACTGCAAGCATTATTTTTCTGGAAAAAAAACCCACACCGGCCGAACCAAACTCTTTGGGGAGAGTGCGGCATGGAGTAAAAAAAACTTATCAGACCAAATAATTCAGGGATACAACCATAAAGATTTCTAAACACACACCATAATTTACAATTATTTCTACGACTATTATTTCTTTTTTTTCTACGCTAGAAATCGAAAAAGTACGATTTACTTTAGAAAGAAGCTGTACATCAAAACTGGAAAATCCCGAATCCCAGAAATAACCTTAAAAAAGGTTAAAAGCATTTCCCTTTTTTTTTTTATATTATTATATTATATTACTTTGGAAAAAGGCAAGTTATTTTGAATAATAATTGAAGCATTTGCCAAATAAACACAATATAATTGCATAAATACAAGCATGGTACATGTACTTTTACAAACCTTCAATGTGAGTTAAATCTGCAGCTGGAACTTTCCGTTTTGAAAACGCATATACTATAAGACAGAGATACACTGGACGCAGCTTTGCTTCTAGAAGACCACAACTGGTGTTTTTCCACTGCATAATGTTAATTCCATACTTTTGTAATTGCCCACATATTATTTTTTGCTGTGTGAATGATCAGTCTTCAAACTAGCCTAACTGTTGGGAGATGCACTACGTACTTATATGACGTCACAATATTACAGAAACTAAAATCCGCGAAACGTTAGTAGGCCAAGGGGTTTAGAAGATCTTTTTAAACATACAACGATAAAAAGGACGTATTTCCAGTTACCAAAGGTGTGTTTCTGCTGAATGATTATACACGTGCACATGTTACGTTTTACCGACCGAGGCATCGAAATAGCGGACTTAGTGACTAGTCTACAGCAGCACAGGGCCGATTGAGTGTATCGTCAGGCCTATATCGTTTTTCGTGGTAAGTAGTTTGTACGTCTGTTCATAAACCAGTTTGTTATCATAGATAAATGTGTTATGGTTTACTTATAAATAACATAAAACTTACATTTAGACGACCGAATTATCTACTTTCACTTTTAAATACAGAGGCGTTCAAAAGATGGTGCATCGCAAGAAATTTAAATTTATGACGAATTAAAATAAATATCTACGCACAGAATAATTTCAATCTATTTTTCCTTCACAATTAAAAAAGATGAGGATAATAATTATTTATTTCAGTTTTAAAACCCTCTCCTTTTCAGGGTGGATATGTAAACTCGTCCATTAGTGCATTACAAACAAGTGATATACAGATGAAAGTGAATAGTGAAAAAATCTAAAAAAAAAAAACAAAAAACAAACAAACAAACAAAAACAAAAAGAGAAAACTCTGGTAAGATTATGTTTTTCTTTTTTTTTTGTTTGTTTGTTTTTGTTTGAATGACAGGGATAGAATATTCAATCAATTCTGAAAAGTGGGGGGGGGGGGGGTCTGGAGATTTTTTTTTATAAAAAAGAAGTTGTGCTAAAAATTGAATAAAGATAATACGTCCAGTGGCAGGAATTTAAAAGTAATATGCCTCTGGTTATCCAGAAAATAAAATATTCAGTCTTGTGAAGGCTTGGGAATGCATATTTAATCTAAATTACAGAATATATTGCCCTCATAGTCTTACAAAGTCTTATAATTTGAAGAAATAAGTTTAAACTATTTGTGAACTATTCAGATCATAAACAGATTTAATTAAATGAAAAATTTGAAGAAAAAAACTAGGAAAGAAAATGTAAAAATAAACAGTAATTCTTGATTATTTTAAAAAGAAGTTTACTTCAATTAATACTGCATTTCTTTTTCAGGTATACACGGGTTAAAAACTACAATATAGACCAAAGGAAAAGAAAATGATAGAGGACCAAGAAAACGCTTTATAACATGACATTAAATGAATAACTCATATGCACGACTAGATGTGCCACTTTATTACCTACTATTGATATACTTTAGTAAAATATTTATACCATTATACATGTGCATATATCAAGTGAATTTGTTTTGTGTGCATCAGTTTCAGTCATGTTGTAAATTCACCAAATTACCCGCAGTGAAAATTTTAATCAATTAATTAGAACACTTAGTACTTTGTTGTCAATTAACAGCCAATATCATTTTTATTCTGGCATCTTTAGAATTTATAACATGAATAACACTATTGTAAAGAAAAAAAGACCAACTTTCACCTCATGCACGTTAACATTTCTTATGTCCATTACGACGCTTTATGGTTTTAAAATTATCTGACCTCCTATTATTTTAAATTTATCAATTTCAAATTAAAATGATATTGTTTATTATTACTGAGTATACATATTCTTGACATCATAATTATTAACAATCAAACGGCCATATTTTATAGACGTACAGTTTGTCAAAGTCAGCCAAGCCTGGTGCTTCAAGATCAACTGTGAAGAAGGAGGTGTATTGACTGATGTGAAGTCGGCCAATGCCTGCATTGACTGACTGATGTGCAGTCGGCCAATGCCTGCATTGACTGACTGCGCAGTCGGCCAATGCATGCATTGACTGACTGTGCAGTCGGCCAATGCCTGCATTGACTGACTGATGTGCAATCGGCCAAGGCCTGCATTGACTGACTGATGTGCAGTCGGTCGATGCCTGCATTGACTGACTGTGCAGTCGGCCAAAACCTGCATTGACTGACTGATGTGCAGTCGACCAATGCCTGCATTGACTGACTGTGCAGTCGGCCAATGCCTGCATTGACTGACTGCGCTGTCGGCCAATGCCTGCATTGACTGACTGATGTGCAGTCGGCCAATGCCTGCATTGACTGACTGTGCAGTCGGACAATGCCTGCATTGACTGACTGATGTGCAGTCGGCCAATGCCTGCATGCATTGACTGACTGTGCAGTCGGCCAATGCCTGTATTGACTGACTGTGCAGTCGGCCAATGCCTGCATTGACTGACTGATGTGCAGTCGGCCAATGCCTACATTGACTGACTGCGCAGTTGGCCAATGCCTGCATTGCCTGACTGTACGGTCGGCCAATGCCTGCATTGACTGACTGATGTGAGGTCGGCCAATGCCTGCATTGACTGACTTGACATTGATAGACATTATAATGCACAATACCTGACTGAAGCCTGCATTCATACTGCATAGTTATAGAAATCCTGCATTGGGGAATTGGGAAATGTAAATTATCTGCATTCGGATATAGTTGTACAAATTCAGTAGCATTGCAACAATGCAGGTAAGGAGATGTAAAATGGAAAAATAATTCTAGTGAAAACATCTCCATCTGGAATTTCAGTATTTTCCTTTTACCAATTTAACTTTACTTTGCTCAACTTTGAAAAGTAAAATTTTGTCAATTCAAATGTGTGCTTCAGCAAAGGTTTTTGTAAGGTGTTGCATTAGTCATTTATAAACAAAGCTTTAAAAAGTGACATTTGCATAAAAAAATAGTTGAGACAAATCAAAATTTAGTTGAGACTCCATTATATGATTGTATATCGAGGACATTACTCTTTTGGAATCTCAGGCCTTTGTATACTGTGGTGTCAAGAAAGTTAACACTTTCATTCGTATGTTGTAGGTTATGGGTCTTCTTTTCTCTCTTGTATTGCTTTGTTTCTTTATTCCTCTTAAAACAGTATGTAGTCTGGGGCATGTTTCGTTCATAGTGGACCATGGGCAATGGATGCCAGCTTTCACATAGAAGAATCTCACAGCTGCTAGGTATAACTTGATGGTATTGATAGACAGTCTTAAAGCCTTAAAGCAATGTGTCACGAAATAGATAAGAGTTTGTTCTGTAATTGGTGTAGGTCTAAAGTCATCTGCTCTAATCCCAATGGAAGGTAGAAAATTACAGAAAGCCTAAAACCTGTTATGTAGGCATTTCTTGTGTTTTCACTGATGGAAGAATCGCACAATCTATTTGCTTGATCCTCTAGTACAAAACAAGTTCTTGTAGTGATGGAATGTTCACAGGGTCTTTTGATGCTGTTGGTGCTGCTTCTCTGAATCGGGCCATCTGGAAATGAGAAAGAGAGTCAGCTATCACATTTTCTTTACCAGGGACATGATCACATAGAATAATAAAGTTTTCGCATGCTGACTTCCAAGTTAATTTTCTCATAAGCTTCATTATAATAGCAGATTTAGAACGACGTTTTCTAATTATCTGAATGGTAGCTAAATTGTCACACAAAAATTTTATCCATTTTCCAGACCATTCGTGTCCCCATAGAACCACTGCTACTACTATGGGGTACAACTCTAAAAGTGCCATAGAAATAGGATCATTTCCCAGGTTGTGAATTTCTTCTGGCCATTTTCCTTGAAACCACCGCCCGGCATAGTACCCACCAAAGCCATGGTTTGACGAAGCATCAGTAAATAATGAAATGTCGGTTGTGTCTGTCACATATTCCTCCAGGAAAAATGACTTTCCGTTCCATCCTTGTAAAAATTTCTCCCACATTGCCAAGTCTTTTCTGCATTCGCTTGTCAAATACACATGATAATGGAGTTCCGACACAGAGTGAGCTAATGTAAGTAGGTAAGATGTGAATGATCTGCCAGCTGGGATTACTCGTGCTACAAAGTTAAAATGACCCAAGACACTTAACAGCTCACGTTTTGTACATGATTTCTTTACTCTAAGGTTATTAATAAGAGTCAAAATTCTGTCGACTTTCTCCAGGGGGATACGGCTCTCCATAATTTTAGAATCAAGTATAATTCCCAGGTATTCAATCACTGTGTCCGGACCTACTGTTTTCTTTTCCGAAATTGGGATTCCGAGCTTTTTGAACACCATAGTCAAAATTGCCATACTCCTCAGTCCGCCTTCGCCCGGGGGGTCAAATGTAATGAAATCGTCCAGTACCGGTAAATGAAGGATATTTTTTATATTGTAGTTATTCTGGATTATCCAACAGATGGCTTGGGAAAGCATGTCAAAAATTTTGGGACTACTCCTGCAACCAAAAACTAGTCTCTTGTAGAAGAAGTATTTCTCCCTCCATTTAATTCCGTAGTAGGGTTGCACATCTTTTGCTATAGGGATTAGTTTAAATGCGTCCACTATATCCATTTTGCACATGAGAGACTCACTACCAAGTGTCTGTAAAATGGTAATTGCGTCATCGATGCGCACATACTGCAATGAATATTCATCTTTATCAATGAGATCATTAATGCTTGTTTCAGATGATTGGTTGTGAGGGGAGGATAAATCAACGATTAGTCTATATTTCTTGGAGTATTTTCCTTGAGAGATTCCAATGGGGCTAATTCTGTATACGGAATAAGGTGGTATATTGTATGGACCATCCAAGTATCCTTTCACCATTTCATATTCTATCAACTTGTCGACAATTTCAGGTTGTTTTCTAGCTGAAAGCAAATTTTTGCACTCTAATGTTGATTTAGGTAATGATGATATTCCAGTGGTAAAACCTCTCTCAAGTCCATATATTAATGGGTCAACAAACGTCCTGTCGGGATGCCTATTTAGTTCTGTTTTAAGTATGTGAGTATTTATTGGAGTAACTGATGCCGTTTCACATTGTCTATCATCTGTCCCTTTAGAAGATAGTCATTGTTTGTCAGTTTGAGTGTGGTCCTTTGATTTGTTTTTGGTTTTTGTGCAATTGGAAGCAGAGTGGTTGTTTAACTTGCATTCTGAACATATGTGAAGAAGATTGCAAGAATTCCTTTGGCACCCATTTGATCCATTGTAGTTATTACATATTTCTTTCCCCTTATATGAGATTCTTGGTCTTCCCTCAACATCTACGTTACTAGGTGTTGGTTTTATCTTGCTGTTTGGATTTCCAGCGTAAGGTGTAGGACCGCTCTTTGACTTGGGACAGAAGTGTGAGGCATGGGTCACGCTACTACAGAACTCGCATCTGATTACGGTTTGACCAGAAAATATTATGGTGAGTAAGGTGTAGGACCGCTCTTTGACTTGGGACAGAAGTGTGAGGCATGGGTCACGCTACTACAGAACTCGCATCTGATTACGGTTTGACCAGAAAATATTGTGGTGAATAATTTAGTGTCTCTTATTGACCAGTCAATGTGGATGTTTCTCTGTAGTAATAGTGCGCTTGCACGTGCTGAGAAAGCTTTATGATACTCATAAAAGGCTGCTCCTCTTGTGGTTGATGCCATTTCCACAATGTCCCGTTCGTAAGCATCTAATTCTTGATGCCTTGCGGGATACACCTCACATATTATGTTCTTGTATTTTGTAAAGGCTATTATGAACTCGTTAAGAGTTAGGTTTCTCAGTAGTCTTGTGTCGTGAGATTGTTTCAATAATATGTAACGACCATCACTGTCAGTTACATGATTTTCTTCTGTCTCTCGTGGCATAATAAGTAATGCTAAATTTACATCTTTACCTTGTAAGATATTGCTTCTAATTGTCGAAGAAATCGTTTCTACGCAGGGGACTGAGTCAGAGGAAACTCTGGTCGGGACGTCCTGGGGCATGTTCCACGGAGAGTTATCTAGGTTTCTCCCGATGTCGGTAGAGGTCCCAGGCTGATTGGATTTGTTTTGATTCTTCTTCAGTTCGTCCACTTCGTTTGACAACTTCGTAACTGAATCTTTAATGCCTCGAATTGCGTCAATCAATTCGTCGGAATACAACATCCGCCCAGCCTCGTTTCCGTTTGCTGCTGATGAAGAAGCCGGAAGTGTCTTTTCTATCACTTCTCCTGCGTCATTTTGAATATCTACAACTTCGACATTGTCTGTTTCGCTATTTATAGCCGATTTTTCTTTACCTAATACGTTGTCCTGGTAGATTTGCACTAATTGGGACTTTTTCAGGGACAATGGCATCACGATTCCTTTTGATTTCAACTTTTGTAGAATTTCAGTGGACGTCCAGTTTTCGGGTTCCCTAGTGTACCATCGCGTGACTTCCGTCTCTGTAGGTTCTGTCGATGTTTCGGATCGTTTTCTTTTCTTTCCAGGCATCTTTCAGTAAGAAATCTTAAACAAATGGTATATATATATCACTTCTCAGAGTTCACGCATTTAGGTCACAGTATCCTATATAGGAAATTAAAAGTCTGTGT